GAACACCCAGAGGGAGTCGCAGGCAGCCCGAGAGGCGCAGCAGCAGCTGGCCTTGGTGCAGTCTGAGGTGCGGCGGTTGGAAGGAGACCTGGATACAGCTCGCAGAGAGAGAGATGCCCTGCAGCTGGAGATGAGCCTGGTGCAGGTCAGGAGGCAGAGGGCTCCTGAGGAGCGTTCCTGGTGAGGAGAAGTGGGTCTGAGGCAGAGGGACTTTTAGGAGTCATGGCAGACACTCCCATTTCTAACTAGAATTTTGACCTTTATGGACCTCTGTTTTTTTGTGTGTAAAGGGCAAATTAATGAGTTTCTAAGAGACTTTTTTTCCTTATTAATGATTGACTTAAGGAGATACCCAATTTCTGAGTTAGTGAGGCCAGTGTTTGAAAAAACACACTCTTTACTTTTCACCTCGCCCATTGAATTGGAGGACTGACCACGTGGAGACTCATTTATCACGGAGGGCCAAGGGCAAAGACGTTAGTAAACAATTCAGTAGCAATTTATAAGCTGCTGTGTCCCCTGAACCGGCGCTAGCTGTGTGTGTGAACGCGTGCATTCAGTAAGCCTGTTGAAGGCCCGTCTATGTTAAGCTCTGAGTTAGGAGCTGGGAACAGTCCTGGCCAACAGGGAGCTTACCAGCTAGCTGGGAAGTCTGTCTAGTAGTTGTGGTTGCTGGATATGTGGTAAGGATATGTTTAGTTTTGTAAGAAATCACCATAGTGTCTTCCAAAGTGACTGTACCGTTTTGTATTTCCAACACCTATGAATGAGAATTCCTGTTGTTCCACATTCTCACCAACATTTGGCGTGTCAGTGTTCTGGATTTTGGCTTTTCTAGTAGGTATATAGTACTATGTAGTGAATTTTTTATATCGTCAATTGTATTTTTCAGCTCTAGAATTTCTATTTGGTTCCTTTTTATAATTTCTATCTCTTTATTGACACTTCCTATTTGTTCTTACATTGTTCTGATTTCCCTTAGTTTGTTGTCCATATAGTGTCCATAGTTAAGACTCTTGACTTAATGTCTTTGACTAGTAATCCCAATGTCTGGGCTTCTATAGGGAGAGTTCCTGTTAGAGTCTCTTTTTTCTTTGAATGAGGCATATTTTCCTATTTCTTTGCATGTTTTATAATTTTTTGTTGAAATCTGGATATTTTGAGTACTGTAGTAACTCTGGAAATCATATTCTTTCCCTCCTCAGGGATTTCTTTTGATGGCCACAGCCATCTGTTTGTATAGTGACTTTTCCAAATGGTTTTTGCAAATAGTATTTCTTGTTGTGTGTGGTAATTGACATTTCTGTTCCATTGTCTCTGTGATTATCCTGTGACCTAACAGATTTTCTTAAATGTCTGGGTTCCCCTTCCCCTTGCCCCAAAAATTTTTTAAAAAGAGTATATATGTCTCTTTAAATCTTCTGATGGATTGAACCAGAGAAGTCTCTGTAGCCCAAGGAGCTCAAAGCAAAAGCAGTTGTCCTCTCTGGTTCCTCAGGGAACTGCCAGACTGACCAAGACTTGCAGTCCCACATTTTTGGAGGATAAGGTCCTTACTGCCCTTGCTTCAGGCAGCCACTCTAGTAACATGGGGCTAGGGATAGGGGATGGTAGCTGGTTCACACACGCAGCTCTCTTACCAAAGTTCAGCAGCCTCTTCCTTCAACAAGCACTCTCCTGGTTGCTTCAGGCATCTGATCAGGTTTCAGAATTCCCAAATAGTTGATTTTGACAGTTTTTTCTGAGCTTAATGGTTGTTTTGGTATAAGGACTGACCCCTGATGTTTCCTACTCTGTGTGACATTACTCTTTTTTTCTTTTATGATCACTCTTTTTTTTTAATTCTATTTTTTAAAAGTAAAAAACCACCATGAGACATTATTAATTTGTTTTATAAAGTCAGTATTCATTTAGAGGTATCCACATAATTTACTACTTTCTTTGCTTTTCTTCCCTTCTTTGAACTCAGACCTTCTGTCTGGCATGTTCTACTTGGTGGCAAAATCCATCTTTCTTTCTTCATTCATTCATCTATTCATTTATTAATTCGCTTTTGAAAATGTCTTTATTTCACATTCATTTTTGAAATAGTTCCTGGGTGTGAAATTCTAGGCTGGCAGTTATTTCAACATACTGAGAACATCATTCTGGCTTCCATTATTGCTGTTGAGAAGTCAGCTCTCAGTTGACCACTCTTGCTTTTGAAACTTTCTCTTTGTAGTTTTTTATCAGGTTTACTGGGGTGTGGTTCATGTATTTTAAAAAAAAAAGAAAAGAAAAGAAATTCTTTTGGGGATTCTTTAGTCTTCTTGCCTAAGTGGAAGTTGTCTTTCTTCGATTCTGGAAAATTCTGTCATTATGTCTGCATATCATTTCTCCTCCATTATCTCTGCCATCTCTTTCTGGAATCTGATTGAGTATATTTGAGCCCCTTTCCCTG